GTGAGCGAACTTCAAAATGTAACGAAGTGCTTCTCAGGAAAGGCGATATCTTGGTAATGAAATGATTAAATAATTGAAATGAAGGCAAGATGAAAGTGACTGTTCCTAATGAAATTTTTAAGACTAACAAAGCTCACCAGTTTGACAGTTTCGTCCAGTATATCCGGATTTACATTTGCATCGGTAACTTCCAGGAATATTTAGACAACTAGCACCGTTCTTACAGGGAGATCTTGCACACTCGTTGATGTCTAAATAACAAATTAAAAGTCAAAAGAACTTTAACCGCGGTAATATTTAAAACCACCATTTCCTTTCGCTTATTAAATACGTTTCCAAATTCAAAATTTATCAAATAAAACAGATAGATTGTAGAAAGGTGTTGGAATTGAAAAAAATAGCGAGTTAACTAACCTGAGTCGCAGTTTTTCCTAGTAAAACCTGCTTTACAAATGCACAGGTAACTCCCGGGAATATTTGAACATTTAGCGCCGTTTTTACAAGGAGATCCAGCACATTCGTCAATATCTAAAGAAAAAAGTACAAATTAATATAACTCTTCTTGCATAAAATAAAAAGTACCTTTTCCTGTATGTCATATATATATCTTTCTACAAACAATCCAGGACACTCGCTAATCACGTTTTCAAATGCAAAATTAATGAAATTGAATCCTTCTGGAGATATTTATGAAAGTTTGTTATTCTAAATTGCATAAAGCTCATAATTCTAAATGGATAGATAGTTTGCAAGAAAGGTATTGAAATTAAAAAGAGAGCAGAGTAGCTGACCTGTGTTACAGTTCTTTCCTGTAAAACCTGCTTTACATCTGCACAGGTAATTCCCGGGAATATTTTGACATGTAGCGCCGTTCTTACAAGGAGATCCAGCACACTCGTCAATATCTAAATATGAAAGTACAAATATTTATACCTTTTCTTGCCTAAAGTTAAAAGTATCTCTTTTTATATGTCATATATTTTATTCGCAATCTTTTGCGGCAGAATTAAATAGGGGAATCACAAAAATGTCTTTTGAGGGGATGAAAGTTGATGAACAATAATAGTGGTGCCCAATTAATTATTACTAAACGGTATGTAAGTCAACGAACTGCAAAATGCAACGAAGTGCTTCTCAGAAAAGGCGATGTATACCTCGGTAATGAAATGATTAAAAGAAATTCAAATGAAGGCAATATGAAAGTTATTGTTCCTAACGAAACTTTTAAGCCTGGCAAAATTCACCAGTTCCACAATTTCGTCCAGTATGTCCAGATTTACAGTTGCATCGGTAACCTCCCGGAAGATTTTGACACAAGGCATTGTTTTGACACGGAGATTTAGCGCACTCGTCTATATCTGTATATAGAATAAGAAACCCAATAACTAATTTCAGATAAAGATAATGGAGGACCTCCTAGTTACAACGGTACTAGAGGAACTATTCAAGACTTCTTCGCGAGTTTTCTACAAGGAACACACAGCGCTTTATCGAAGTTCACATGATTTTCATTTACGAACCGTCCAATCAATACATGATGACGTAAAGACAACTTTTAATTGTGGTTTTAGAACATGGTCCGATAAAAGAAATGTACCTCATCTATGTCGCCAAAAGATGATATATAAATTTACAAGGCAGCTTACCTGTCTCACAGTTACTGTCTGTATAGCCAGGTTTACAGACGCACTGGTAGCTTCCAGCGATATTTTGACAAGTAGCACCGTTCTTACACGGGGATTTAGCACACTCATTTATGTCTAGATAACAAAGTAGGCATCAGTATAACTTAAACCGCAATTATATTTAAAACGGCCATTTACTTTCGTTTGCATCCTCCAATGGATAAGACTATCAGAAGTAAAAACTTGTATAACACGAAAATATTATGGTCTTAATTTGGATGCAACGAGAGGGACTATTCTTTGTAATTATGAAATAGATTTTTAAGATATCGTGCGTCTGTTATAGATCACGGATGACATCTAATTGTGAGAAACAACAAAAAAAGGTTCAGCTATTAGTTTTTTATTTGTTTGTATACAGAACCTCTGACACAGAATCTAGTTGTTTTATACAATGGAAAATCAACAAATTGCCATTTTTTTGTCGTTTTCAGACATTATTTAATGTTGTAAATAACTGGTCCTTAAGGGAATGACATAATTTAGAAGAACACGCTCCTCCTTTACCACATCCTTTTATGGCTTCGCTTAATGTCTAGAGTAGTGCTGAGAGTAGTAAGCTTCCAGCAATATTTTGGCAAGTAGCACCGTTCTTACAAGGGGCTTTAACACATTCATTGATATCTAGATAATAGATTTAAATTCAATATAACTTAAACCGCCATGATATTTAAAACTACCATTCCCTTTGATTTGCATCTCTACCATTAGAGACTCAGAAATTAAAACTTGTATAACATTAAAATATTATGATCTTAATTTAGATGCACTGAGAAGGAGGTATAGTCTAAAAACTCACTTTATGTTTAGACTTGTAGCATCTTTTTTGTTCGCTTTTTTTTAAAAAAAATCCAGGAAAAATTAAATACGTTCAAAAAAACAAAATTAATGAAATTAACTCTATCCAAATATATCGCAAAAAGTTCATGATTCCAAAATGGGTAGATAAATAGCAGTAAGGTATTGGAAATAAAGAGAGCGGGCTAGCTGACCTGTCTCGCAGTTCCTTCCTGTAAAACCTGCTTTACACCAGCACAGGTAACTCCCGGGAATATTTTGACATGAAGCACCGTTTTTACAGGGATATCCAGCACACTCGTCAATATCTAGATATGCAAGTGCAAATTAATATAACATTTCTTGCATAAAGTAAAAAGTACCGATTTACACTTGCATCGGTAACTTCCAGGAATATTTTGACAAGAAGCACTGTTCTTACAAGGGGATTTAGCACACTCATTGATATCTAGATAACAGATAAAAAGTTGATATAACTAAAACCGCAATGCTATTTAAAACTACCATTTCCTTTCGTTTGCATTCTCCTATGGATAAGACTATCAGAAATAAAAACTGGTGGAAAATGAAAATATTATGATCGTGATTTAGGTGCAACGAGAAGGGCATATCATTTAGAACAAGTGTTCTGGATTGTTTTATAACTTAAAATTTACAGTCAAAAGCTTGAGATAAAAATGGTAACAATAA